TTTGTGTATGCTTCTCTGTCAGTCATTGTTAATAAACAGTTATTTCTTTGTTTAACGTCTCTGCATTTTCCTAGTAATTGTGCTATGGAAGTTGTTTATTCTTTCTTACATTGCTTTTAATTCTGAACATAATTGTGTTGCACTTCTTTCTGGACTGAGTCAGGTGATTTCCACGTGGATTTGCCAAGCAGATTTTGAAAAGAGTGGAAATATCAGGCCTGTTTCCTTGACTTCCTTTTTGGGATTATTCAAGTCTGAGGCACAGTTAAAATATATATAGAGATAAATATTATTTTCGTTGATATATTGAAAAGAAAAATCTATAATGTGTGGGTGATGTTAGAGAAATGAATATAACACTGAGGTGCATGTTGGCTGTACCTTACTGGGATGGTGTTGGCAGGACCTAAAGCTCTGAATACGAGGGGAAAAACTTAATACTGACCATTACTCAGACATGTTTTAGTATCAAGCCCTTCTGTCACCTTACCCCCACCTCAAAGTGTATACATCAATTTCTCTCTGAAACAAATATTTCAATAAAACACATGAGAGATATCTGTGGGGTTTGTTTCCAAAGAGGCGCAGTGCCTCCTTGGTTAAGAGGACCTCATAATAAACCCTGCAGGTTCAGAGACCCTTTCTAGCAAAGCAGTGTGGTACGACTGGCTTTCTATCTAGTTGTTGTCCGTTAGTCACAAGTCTACTGATGCCCTTTCTTTCAGTTTGGATAAATTCCATTTGTGCTGTGATGTGGTTCATTCACAAGTGGGGATTTGAAAATCCACTTGTTGTACCTTAGGAAATAATTGTTGTGCTTTTCTGTATCTCTGTGAGGACAACCAAGTGTTAGACTTTGAAACCTCATTGGAAGAGAGCCTTCTTTTTTCTGAGAGTAGTGTTTATGGTTTGTTTAAGGTTATCAATTATGTCTCAAATAAAAAGCTCTCTACAGATGATCATCGTGCTGTACTTTGAACTCATTTAACTGGACATTATTTACAGAATATTTATCTTGGTTATGGCAGTTTTTGTCACGCAGCGATATTACTTTTCCATTATATATTGCATGTGACCGCCACATAAGTTTGATAATAAATGTTGGGAAATAAAAAACAGAGTAAGTGCCTCAGTATGATAGCAATTCCCATGTGATGGGAAATAATGTCATAAACTTCAAATTACCTTTTAAATAAATGTTTATGTCCAACCCATCCATTAGATCATAGCCCAAAGGGTCAGGAGGATCATTTCTTCATATTTCACTGTATGCATTATGATTGCTTTTTGAGGTGTAAATGATGTTTTTAAATGACGAATGGCACCCAAACTATACCCAAACAAAGGCTAGACGTTACAAAGTCGCAGTATGGCAGAAATAGCCCGAGCCACTCTGCTAAATATAGAAGTGCAGCAGTAAACTGAATTCATTCTTAGCAAATATTTTTAATAGCGCATCTGCTGAGACGATACAGAAATACAGCTGTTTGTTTCATTCATGCTGTTTGAGGCTTTGACGTTTTAGCCAAGTTCTAGCTCTAATTATGGCTTGGTGGATGGTAGTTTGCTAAATGCTTAGGAGAGTAAAGATTTTGGAGAACTGGGAAGAGAATACCTGAGTGTGCAGTGAGGTGCACAGATGGCAGGTATCCTATAAATGAGGATTTTAACCTCCCAGGGCTTTGTGTGCTTGCGACGTGATGACAGCTCCCTAAGTGCCCAGGGGTGGGATTTCCCTTCAGGCACCAGGTGTGGAACAGCCCATACTCCCCACGCTTTTCACAGGGCCAGAGCAGCCCACCTTGAGTGTGATGCAAGCCTGAATCCCACATTTAGATATGTACATACTTTGAGCTGCACCTCCCTAGTCCCAGTGTCCTGAAGGAATCCATTTGCATCCTCCAAATGCACTCTGTGTTGAAGTTTTTGTAGATGGTGATGTAGGTGAAGCCTGAAGGCTGAAGAGGATCACTTCTTCATGTTTCACTTTATGCTTTATGATTGCTTTTTTTAAGTGTAGCTGATGTTTTTCAATGAAGAATGACACCTGAATTATATGCAGAGAAAGGCTAGGCTGTAGATGGAGCTATGCTAGAAAGTCAAGAATGGTCAGGTTTAACAGAGGGTGTCTTGGAAGAAGCTGCAGATGTCCGAGGCGTGTGGCGAGTGGCAGGTTGCTCAGCCTGGGCTACTGGGAGTAGGGAAGGAAGGGCTGTCCAGGGCCATTGGACCAATCTGGGGATACATTAAAACAAAAACAGAATCCGTTTGCAGGCAGGGAAAAGCCATTGTCTTGAAGATTTAAAACACCAATCAAGAACCTCAGTGGTGATTTTGTGTGACTCTGATTTGACCTTCCTGTTTACATTAAGCATGTTTTCTGGCTGTGTACAGTGACATGCTCGCTTTGTTTATTGTATTTGACAGTTACAGCAGTTCTGGGAATAATTGTTCTGGTTGTATGTACGTCACGGAAGAATCATGTTGATATTTGGGATAAAGTTACTCTTTAAAAAAAACCTTATTTGTATTTGTAGTGTTTCTCAACCTTTCCTTCCTTTGTGAGGACCATTAACATTAAAATCTGGCTGGAAAACAAAGATTCTCAGTAGCATATTAAATTATTTGTCCAAGACCTTATTTTTACTTGGAAGTTAATATAATCTCGCACCAGTTGGCTGTAGTATTATTTCTTTTATCATTAGCATTTGCATAAAAATGTTACATTAATTTCATAGAGTTCACTTGTTCTTGATTCTTTTTTGTTAGCAGAGATCTATAATCCTTTGCACAGCAACCACTTGTAAAAGCGGAGGATTATGACTTGGGGCAGGACATGAGCAGCAGGAACAGATCAACTTAAAAACAAAGATCCTGTTTGAGTACAAATGCTATTGTTAGTAGAGAGTTGAAGTGAATCAAGTGTCAGGATGTCTAGCTGAATAAAACAAATTCATATCTATGCCACGTGGCATGCTAGCCAGAAGACACATCTTAGCAGTTCTGTGATAGACTACGTATTTTTATACCTTTACTTACTATGGTTTTGCTTAGTTCAGTCAGCCACTCCCTCTGAGAGTGGCTGGTGTCTATTCAGAGAGCTTTCTGGTTTTCTGCAGATGTATTTTTCTGTCTAAAAAGTTTCTGTGCTTTTTTCACTTTTCCCAAAATCTGCTAGAAGCTGGGATTTGAAATTGCACTGCTATAAGGTCATTTGGAGGTTAACAAAAGCCATTTTGGACTGTTGTCTTTTCTGATTATGTGTGATCCTTCAGAAAAAGAGATACCTTTTCTTTGTCCCTATATTTAAAAAAATGTATAATGAAGTCTGGTTTTTTATATATTGGTAGTTTAACTGAATTAACATTAATAAATGTGACTCAATTTCAAATTATTTTTGAGATTTTTTTACTAATATTTGGTCTATTAAAATTGGTAAGAAGTCAGTAGAAGTAACAAGTGACAGAAGATGTTCTAGTGGAAGCGAGGGGAAAAAAAAACATAAATACTGAATTTTGTAATATTTTGTAAGTCCTGAAGAATTCTGCATAAGCACCTCTAATGACAAGGCAGATGGAAGCTTTGGTAGAAGTCAGGCAAATGGAAGATGTATGGAGGGGTCTTTAATCATTGCCACATTGAGACAAGAGGAGCCTCCATACAATGGTTTCAGTGGTTTTGTCTGTTTGCATGCTTGCTACTGCATGGATTAGGATCTGTCTTCAATACCCTGAAGTTTGCAAGGTCAAATAAAAACCGTTCTCCTAAAGTTATATTTCTAAATCTTGTATGAAAAAGATTTTATTGTGCTTGATATATGGAGTTCTTCACATCATTCTACTGATGGCACTTGGGCTGTAACTGTATTATCAGTGAATAAGAAAACAGAGGCCCCAGCATTTCAACAGTATGAATTCTTCAGACTGTATTATTTCGTTAGCTCGAGGCAAAAAACTGTGCTCTTAGGGCTCATCTGTGCAGAATGAGTAATCCACGACAAATGTGCAGCCACACTGCGCCTGCAATATGCCCACATCCTGTGGACTAGCCAGTCTTGCTGTGCAACACAGGCAGCCAAGTGTCTCTCATGGACAATAGGCATATGCTAAAAAATGATAATTTTATTATGCTGTCTGAGACTTTACTATAGATAAGTGATTCTAAGAATATTACTACAATCACAGAAGAAGTGTGGGTCTGTTTATCCCCTTTAAGTCAGACTTCTATGCTGAAAAGAGTTGCTTTTACCAACAGAATTTTCTGTTACCTAACCACCATTATGTGAATTCTTTTATGTGAATTCTATGCACAGTGAAAGTGAAATGTGAGTGAAAATACTTATCTGTAGTGCAATCAGTGTTGGTGTTTTTACATGGCTTGCATTAGGCTGTGTGATAGCTCAAATTTTCTTTCTTTGCCAAAGCTGCCTAAACAATACAGTGACAGATTTCTGTTTTTATTCTTCATTACTGTCAGTCTTCATCCTCTCTGCCCCACATCAGGGAGGAAGCATTGTGAGTTTGCTGTTTTAATGAAGAGAAATGATGCATCTATCAACTAGAATTTATGGTGGAGGGCACATCAATTCAGTTGCCTTGAGCTTGCTGAGTTTGCATATTCAGGGCCAAGTAGTGCTCTCGATTACTCCTGTGCAACCCCATTAACTTCAGTAGGTTACGCAGTTCAGAAGTGGCTGTGCTGAAGGCAAGGCAGTGTTGGGGAAAAAGGGAGATCTGTTGGCAAAGTCAAGCTCCAGAGTATTATTCTCAAGGCGATGAGTATGCAGTCATAATTCAACTTTCGAAAGGTTCGGATAGCCATCATATAATAATTTCACAGAGTATTTGAATTTTGTAGATGCAGAGAGCCTCCCCCCAGAAATAAAAAAACATAGCCAACAGTTCTAGCCTGGAAACATATTGCAAATTGTATGTCTGCAGTTGAGTGTATGCTGTAATTATTCCATAACTGTAGGTTGCTTCTTCCTTCTGTCTCCACAGGAGCTGTGCCGTCAGCGCATGGCCGTGAAGACATCTGATCGCCCAGAGCCCCTGCGTGCCTCTCGAATCAATAGTGTTTCCTCCCAGTTCAGTGATGGGCCCATTCCCAGCCCTTCGGCTCGCAGCAGCACGTCGTCCTGGTGTGAGGAGCCGGTGCAGTCCAACATGGACATCTCTACTGGCCACATGATCTTGGTAAGGCAGTTTTTCTTCAAGGCATGTGAAATGCCATCAGAATGCGCGGTACCCGCTCAGCTTTTGGTAGGAGTTAACTTACACACAAATGACGACTACCTTTTCACGTGTAAAAATATTCCTGAACCTCCTTGGTAATCTTAGCTTTGTATAAGTAAAATAAAGGGATTTTTATTTCTTTCTCATTATATTGTTTATATTTCTCTCTGGGGGATATTTTTTTATCTTGGACGTACAAATTGTTTGTGTGCTTGCTTCAAAAAAGATAAGTCGTGCTTTGTCCCTTTGTGCTAGTAATTTATGTTTAGTTCCGTTTGGACAGCTGAAGAAAATGCTAAATTTCTGATCAGGTTGCTTTTTGTGTGTTTTTACTGTGCGGAGGTATCTGAGCTGAGAATGCAGCAGAATATTACGTAGTAATATGGAACAATTTCATTTTCGTTACCCCTGGAAAGAGACCTTCATTTTGTTATTTTTATCAGGTTTTCTTCCGTCTAAGCTGGATCTCTTTTATGTTTGAAAGGATACAAATATATTGTCTTAATGGAGATTGATTTGGAAAACTTGGGTTACTTCCAAACTTAGTTTGAGATTAGTGTCAGTGCAGGAAATGGACACATGAAAATCTGCCTGTATGCATGGAACAGCTCTAGCAGTCCAAAACAGAGGCCAGTGGTCAGAACTTGCTGCTTGGTTCTGTCTTTCCCTGCTAAGTGTCTACTGGGAGAGCTGTGGAGTAATCCCTGGGTTTTGTGCTTCATTTTACTTCTTTAAGTATTTGCTGTCTTTGTAGAGTGCATTGAAACTGACTGAGAAGTTGTTAGGTAATGGCAAAGATCATGTTACTTTGTGTTACTTCACTTTCTGTGTTTGATTTGTGCTATTTTTCAGTAGTAGTTAGTATTTTTTAATAGGACTGATTTCAAGTAAGGACCCTTTCCATTTGGTACCATTGCCATGCTTTTGGACACTTCCCTGTTGACTTATGCACATCTGTGCAGCTCTGAAGGCTGACCTGTGGGTTTTTTGAAGAGGAAGTTTGTCTCCATTATGTGATATTTTGGGGTCATGCTTTTTCCATTTCTTTCTCTTTTAAAGGATTTACATTTGAAAGTACTCTTTGTAGAACTTCTCTGAGTTCTTTAAGCCATCTTATCTAACGGAGAATGGAATGAGGGCAAGCAAAACCCAGAGAGCTAGTTTGACCCCAGCCATGTTACTGACCTTCAGCCTTGGTCAGGTCAGCTATAAAACTGAGCAAAAGCAGGGCAAGTTTGAAAAACAGACTCTTTATCCCAGAATGTCATCCTGAGTAAACACTTATTCCCTGTCCCTGCAAATATTAAGTTTAACACTGATGTACAACTGCAGTTTAGAAAGGGTTTTCTGCCATGGCAGAAAATCATATGTCACACTTCCTATTGTCCCACTTTTGCCTAACTGGAGTGAAATTCACTTGATTTTTCTTTCACAGTTATATAAAATGCTTGAGAAAAAAGTATTCCAGTTGTCCAACTCAAAATAAATCCAAATTCCTGTGGTAGTGTTCCATATTTGTATGGAAGTAAAAGCAAAATTTCCTTATGTATATACATGGTAAAATGCACTTGATATTTCCAAACCATTCCAATTACTTGATCACATTCTTTTCTTATTCTGGATATGGGAATTTCTGCAAAATTGCAGGAAAGCTATATGAAAAAAAAGTCTTTGAATAAACTTAAATAGAATCAGATTGCACAAGATCACTGTTATGGTGTTCAGTGTCCATAATACAGTCAATGCTGTTTAACCCTGAATGAACTCATACATATGTTAGCTGTCTAAGAGCATATGTTGTATCTTAGGTGGTGAGGGTTCAAGGGAGGGTAAAAGAAATGCTGTAATGTCTTGAGAGTACGAACCACACAGAGAGAATAAAAATAGTTAATTTGTGTAGTCTAAACTGGACAAATAAAAGTCAGTGAGTCAGGGAAGTCTGTGTATTGTGCTTTGAAATATGGGATGGGGAAAAATTGTTCTTAATGGACACAGATGATACAAATAGGAGAAAAATGTGAGTTAGAGTCAAAAGGATGCATTTAGCTTGGATATCAGGGCAAGCCTAATAGGAGGGTCAGGCGGGCACTGGGTTGTTTACTTAAGGGAAGTAGTTAAACCATAAATTCATGATTTGATGAAGGCAAAGCCAGGTTAGGTTTACATGGGAAGATCAGCGTCGTGCAGTTGCAGCACTGGGCAGATGATTGGACTTGATCAGAATTACTCCTGTTTTGTGTCACTGTGGGTCATGCTGAAACCAGAGAGCTGGCCCAGTGTGTGTTTTGCTCAAAAATAAATGCACATATCCTTAATACCTTATTTGCCTGAATCTCTCTGCCTCTGGAGAGGCTGTGACTTGATGAACTTCAGCAATAGGAAGACTTGCCAGACAGAGCTCTTCCTGCCTCTGCCCTGCAGCTACACGTTGAGGGGAGTAAAAGACCCCACTTCACATCTTACAGATCATTCAGTGCAAGAATTTTCCCAGTTCTTCCTATTTCCTGCTGCTAGATTCCTCTCATCTTCTGAATTTTTAAAGATATTTTTTATGAAAGATATCTCAGTGCTTGAAAAAGCAACAAGAAATATTAGCAAGGGGCCCAGCAAGGATAGCAAATGCTATCTGCTTTGCAGGGTAAATGCACTTATAGCTCTCTATAAACGTGTTTTTCAGCTCCACAGTGTGTGCCGATATAGCAGTTAGCTGAGTTAGGGCTCCTCAGCCTTTATTGTTCATGGGTGCCAAAGCCTCCCAAGAGAAAATGAAACAATAGATTACTGTGTAAAGTGGCAGCAGGAAATATTTTATTTTGATTTATAAACAGAATAAATCTTGAATGGAAATAACTTAGAATAAATAAACCTGCAGCTGCTAAGTGACTCCGCATAGTCCCTTTCTTGCTCACAGGTACCGTTGGTCAGAAATGCTACCGCAAAGGTCATTTAATTTGCTGGAAAAGTCTGGCTGTACCTGAAATGTTGTCCAAACCACCCAAACCTTGAGCTTGTTGGAGTCTCTGGCCAGCCACAGCTACTCTTTTCTTAGAGGACTAGCTGCTTGTGATTAGCTGATCACTTGTAGCACTTGAGGTCTGGAGAAACCAGGAATCTGCCAAACCCATGTGGCTGTGGGGCAGTCTCCTTAGGTAGGCTTAAATCTTTGAGATCTGTCACTTTCCTGTACAACAAGGACAGTGTCTGTGCACTGTTGACAGTAGCATGAGTCAGTTTGTACTACTGGCAGTAGGAAGCAGGGAGGACTCAGGAGACCCATACCAATGTTCCATGCCTTTTTCCTTTTTCACATTCTTTTTCCTCACATTTGCAGCAGGAGGATGGCCCATATGGCACTTTTTTGATTCTATCATCTTTCTGAAAAATACAAGCACTTTGGAAAATGTAATTAGAGGAGCATGTTTTATGCAGTCATGTTTGTCGCACTGACTGGCTGGTTTCAGCACAAGCAACAACAAAGAGGTGCCCTCGATTCAGTCACTGTTGTTCTGCAAGAAAATGATTGTTTTCTAGAAGGTCAGAGCAAAGGAAAGAGCAGAAACTGGGAATCAGATTTCCATCCACTTTATTCACATGTGTACATCCATATTTTATGTTACATGAGAAGTCCTAATAAAGTATCAAACTTCCACCTGTAGTCCAAGAGAAGAACCATAGGGTTTTGAAGGTGTCCAGGAGATATATAGTATAATTTACTGGGACTCCTAATTTTACCTACATTTTAGATACTTGATAAAGTGGTGTTGCTGATTTGAGTTCATAAATTCCCTTTGTAGTTGATGTAGAGAGTGGGTACCTATGAAGGTCTTCAGAGAATTAAGCAGAGAGGTTTTTTCTTGGGACTTCTGCTGTGCTGCCTGCATCATCCCACTGACATCTCCAACCTCACAAAATCATAGGATGGTTGAGGTCAGAAGGGATTTCTCCATCCTGTCCAACCCCCTTTTCAAGCTGGATGTCTGGAGCATGACCAGATGTCTTCTCAGTGGCTCGAAGAAGGAGTATCTCCAACTTAGATGAAGGATTCTCTATTTTTCATACTCAAGAACAAGTTCAGCATGTAAGTTAGGTAGATTGGATCCCACTTTTGCTTCATACATTTCCATGCTTGCTTGATTAAAATAAATATAACCTTATGAATTTTTATGTAAAGAACTGTGGTGCAAGAAGGGACTTTATGCTTTTGACAACATTTTGATGTAATTTTCTGAATACTGTATATGAGAGGGAATTTGCAGAAGCAGAAGTGATTTTCTGTGTTGGAGTTGTTGGGTTTTTTTCCTTCAAAAGATACACGTGCAAAATCTGAAACATTATACATAAATTAGAGTATCAGAAAATGCGAATTTCCAAGATCAATTTTGGTCGTTGTTTAAGCTGGTAGTCTGAGGAGTGTTCTCCCTGAAGATATGAAACTGCTGTATGTATTGGAAAAAATAATGGTTTGTGGTAGTTCATATGTACTCTGGTATTCAGTAGGAGAAGAAAGTATTGCTATGGGTTTGAACAAGGCAGTGGGAACAAATGAGCAAGAGACTGAAATTGAGAGCTTTGCATGGAGGAGGTGTAAGTCCACTTGATCCCTTTGCCCTTGCATTATACGTGCTAAACCAAAAGGACCTTCCACATAGAGAAGCAAGGGATGGCCTGATATGAGAACTGCTTGTCATAAGGAAGTTCTCATGGTCTTTGAGCACTATTTGGGGTACAAACGTGTCTAGGGGACAAAGACCTGCTGCTGGAAAACCAGTCAAACCCAATAACTTGAATTTTGCATGCAGTTTCATTCTGATGCTGAATCAGTGTAAGTTTTCTTCACAGAATCATAGAATGGCCTGGGTTGTAAAGGACCACAATGCTCATCCTGTTTCAACCCCCTGCTACGTGCAGGGTCACCAACCAGCAGACCAGGCTGTCCAGAGCGACATCCAGCCTGGCCTTGA